CAAGTGTTCAGAGCGCACAGTCTGTGGGAATGCAGCATGGCGGTGAGATCTTGGCGCTCAGCAGTCACAGCAGGCTGTTGCGAATGCGGCACAATCCCAAAACCAGCGAAAGCAGCAGTCGAGTTCAGTCCACTATTGAAATCTCCAGCGAGCAACACCGAGGACCTCACCGGCAGAGAGCCTATGAACTTGTCCAGCTTTGTCCACAGCGTTTTGCGCTTCTTAAGAGCGGCTTCCAGAGCATCCGCCCCAAATGGCAGCGTATGCTGGTAGATAGCCACCACGTCAAGATGCTGTTGATCCATTCCAAAGCAGCGGAGATGAAGCAGGCGTCCAGGAATCAGCTCCTGCCAGCGCAAGGTAGCCTGAGAGCAAAAATCCTTCCGAACACCCAGAAGAATACCGCCCTGTTTCGGCGAGGCAGCTGGACTGTGCACAAAGGTCCAATCCCCATCAGTCCACTCGTTGGAGTATGTATGATGCGTTTCGACCAAGACCATGATCTTGATAGAGGTATGTCTTTGCAGCAGGAGCTTAACTTCAGACAACAGAAGCTGCGATAAGCCTCCACAGTTCCATGAGAACACCTCAAAGCGTTCAGCATGCTTCGGAGCCTGCGCGTCAACTGCCACCGGCAGCGCTGGCGCAGAAGGTATAAGCGGGCGGCCGTGATAGGTCGCCTGTCCGTGAGCTTGCGCTCTTCTGATGGCCCGACGAAGAGACCGCTTTTTGATACGCTGCGCTCTACGCGCACACAACGCTTCCACAGTCAAGCTAGCATTCTTCCCCGTTGGCTTCACCACGCTGGTCGGATCGACCAGAGCAGTTCCAGGTGGGTCACGGGGGACCGCACCAACCCTCGCACCCAAGGGTGTTTCATAGTAAGCACTTGGAACGGTGTTGACCCCTGCCCGGACTTGGGACCGGGTCGAGCCTGCGCCTCCCAAAAGCCTGGCAGCCCCTTCGGCACAATGAAACAATTCGCCAAGCTGGATACTCGCTTCAAGGGAGGCTCCATTAAGCCAGGGAGTGGTCGAAAGGCCACACCATACCTGCTGCAGCATGAGCTACTACCACTACAACAACTACTACTACTACCACAACAAATACTACTACTACTACTACTACTACTACTACTACTACTACTACTACTACTACTACTACTACAACTACTTGTTTGGCTCCTGCATGGCAAGCTTGGCACTCTCGCACGTGCGGGACAGGCTTCCCACTTGCAAACACATTTTTCGCAGGGTGAATGGCGTTGTTTCAAAAACGCACATATCATATTATGCAGGGTGGGTTCCAAAAACGACTCCTATGCTGTCACGCAAGATCACGCAAGCTTGCAGACGGCTGAAAACAGCGGGGGGTTGGGGGGGGCAGCCCCCCCCCCGCCCACATTTGCAATTATGATGGTCGCGTGGTCGGTTAAAACAAAAAAAGAAACAGTGCTGTCAAGCAAGTGCGCACTCTCGCATGCCCGGCGCAGGTTCCCAATTGCAAGCACCCTTGTCACAAGGTAAAAAATGGTATTGGTTTCGAAAAGACACGTCTCAGGGATCGCGGGTTTCAAGAACGACTCCTACGCCGTCATGTAACCTTGCACACGGCTGAAAACAGCGGGGGGGTTGGGGGGGGCGCAGCCCCCCCATTCGCAATCACGATGCTCGCATGGCTGGTTTACAACAAAATCATTTGGGCGGCGGGGGGGGGCGGGGTTTAAGGGGGGCAGCCAGTCAGGATGCTCGCATGGTTGGTTTTAAATAAAACGCATATATATATATATATATATATATTTATATATATATTTATATATATATTTATATATTTATATATATATATATATATATATATTTATATATATATATATATATGCTGTCAAGCAAGCTTGGCACTCTCGCACGTGCGGGACAGGCTTCCCACTTGCAAACACATTTTTCGCAAGGTGAAAAGGCGTTGTTTCCAAAAACGCACATATTATGCAGGGTGTGTTTCAGCAACGACCCCTATGCTGTCACGCAAGCTTGCAGACGGCTTGAAACAGCGGTGGGGTTAGGGGGGGGCAGCCCCCCCCGCCCACATTTGCAATTATGATGGTCGCGTGGTCGGTTAAAGCAAAAAAAGAAACAATGCTGTCAAGCAAGTGCGCACTCTCGCATGCCCGGCGCAGGTTCCCAATTGCAAGCACCCTTGTCACAAGGTAAAAAATGGTATTGGTTTCGAAAAGACACGTCTCAGGGATCGCGGGTTTCAAGAACGACTCCTACGCCGTCATGTAACCTTGCACACGGCTGAAAACAGCGGGGGGGTTGGGGGGGGCGCAGCCCCCCCCATTCGCAATCACGATGCTCGCATGGCTGGTTTACAACAAAATCATATGGGCGGCGGGGGGGGGGGGGGCGGGGTTTAAGGGGGGCAGCCAGTCAGGATGCTCGCATGCTTGGTTTTAAATAAAACGCATATATGCTGTCATGCAAGCTTGGCACTCTCGCACGTGCGGGACAGGCTTCCCATTTGCAAACACATTTTTCGCAGGGTGAATGGCGTTGTTTCAAAAACGCACATATTATGCAGGGTGTGTTTCAGCAACGACCCTATGCTGTCACGCAAGCTTGCAGACGGCTTGAAACAGCGGTGGGGTTGGGGGGGGGCAGCCCCCCCCGCCCACATTTGCAATTATGATGGTCGCGTGGTCGGTTAAAGCAAAAAAGAAACAGTGCTGTCAAGCAAGTGCGCACTCTCGCATGCCCGGCGCAGGTTCCCAATTGCAAGCACCCTTGTCACAAGGTGAATGGTGTTTTGTCTCTATACGACTCATCTCAGGCATCGCGGGTTTCAAGAACGACTCCCAGGCTGTCATGCAACCTTGCGCAAGGCTTAAAACAGCGGGGGGGTTGGGGGGGGGCAGCCCCCCCCATTTTCAATCACGATGGCTGGTTTAAACAGCGGGGGCGTTGGAGGGGGGCGCAGCCCCCCACATTTGCGATTCTATGATGGTCGCGTGGTCGGCTGAAACAAAAAACGCATATGTGCTGTCAACCAAGTGCCACTCTCGCATGCCCGGCGCAGGCTCCCCGATTGCAAACACCCTTGTCACAAGGTAAAAAATGGTATTGGATTCTAAAAGACACATCTCAGGATCGCGGGTTTCAAGAACGACTTCTACGCCGTCATGTAACCTTGCACACGGCTGAAAACAGCGGGGGGGTTGGGGGGGGCGCAGCCCCCCCCATTCGCAATCACGATGCTCGCATGGCTGGTTTACAACAAAATCATATGGGCGGCGGGGCGGGGGGGGGGGGGCGGGGTTTAAGGGGGGCAGCCAGTCAGGATGCTCGCATGGTTGGTTTTAAATAAAACGCATATATATGCTGTCAAGCAAGCTTGGCACTCTCGCACGTGCGGGACAGGCTTCCCATTTGCAAACAATTTTTTCGCAGGGTGAATGGCGTTGTTTCCAAAACGCACATATCATATTATGCAGGGTGGGTTCCCCGAAACGACCTCTATGCTGTCACGCAAGATCACGCAAGCTTGCAGACGGCTTAAAACAGCGGGGGGTGGGGGGGGGCAGCCCCCCCCCGCCCACATTTGCAATTATGATGGTCGCGTGGTCGGTTAAAGCAAAAAAAAAAACAGTGCTGTCAAGCAAGTGCGCACTCTCGCATGCCCGGCGCACAGATTCCCAATTGCAAGCACCCTTGTCACAAGGTGAATGGTGCTTTGTCTCTAAACGACTCATCTCAGGCATCGCGGGTTTCAAGAACGACTCCCAGGCTGTCATGCAACCTTGCGGGCAGCTTAAAACAGCGGGGAAGTACCAGTACTACTAGTACTACTAGTAGTACTAGTACTACTAGTACTACTAGTACTACTAGTATTACTAGTACTACTACTACTACTACTACTACTACTACCACCACTTGATCAAAACCTTACATGAGCAGCTTAAACGCCCAGATATTGTGTCGTTCCCGATACTGTTGTTTGTGGGGGCGGTCGTCCCCGGGGGCCCGTTTTTTTTTGCTGTCGTTGCGGGGGCGCGTTTTTTTTGTTTTGCTGTCGTTGCGGGGGCGCGTTTTTTTTTTTGTGTCGTTGTTTTTTTTTGCTGTCGTTGCGGGGGCGCGTTTTTTTTTTTGCTGTCGTTGCGGGGGCGCGTTTTTTTTTTTGCTGTCGTGGCGGGGGCGCGTTCTTTTTTTGCTGTCGGTGCGGGGGCGCGTTTTTTTTTTGCTGTCGGTGCGGGGGCGCGTTTTTTTTTTGTTGTTTTTTTTTTGCTGTCGGTGCGGGCACCGGGGTTCACTCACTCACCGGCTTCCTGGGTCCGCGCGACGAGAACAAAAAAAACATAAAGGCAACGACAGCAAAAAATAAAACACGGGTTCCAGACAGAGAGACACGCCGACCGACAGACAGACAGACAGACAGACATTTGCCTGTGTGTATCACCTCATGATATTGTTGCATGTAGTGTGCATGGTTGCAGGTGCATATGTATCAGACTATGTATGCATATGTATGTGTATATATATATATACATATATATATATATATATATATGTAGAATAAGCATATAATATGCATATAACATGTACAAACCTGTACCAAAAATATGCGGGTATGCATTTGCTCATTTATTGGCTTTCATACAAGTGCATGTATCAAAGTGCATGAATATGTGTAAATGCACATGTACACATGCAGAAAAGTATACAGGGCACTGCATGATATGTGAGATAGTGACTAATCTAGTGCAGGTCATAGACTCTATCACCAGCTACCCATGCGTGTACGTATATAAAAAAGTATATATATATATATATGTGCATAAACGAAAAAATGTGTGTATATATATATATATATATATGTATGTATATGCGAGTATGTATGTACATGTGTGTATATATATATAGACAGAAATTGTTTCAGTCTTCGAACCACGCTGAGATTGTCAGATTGATATGCATCTTCAAGCTCGCTCTGTGTCACTCGCCAATTTCTTAGTCATCCACCTGGTCGTTCTCACGAGCCTCCGTCGCACGCTCGACCTCAGATTCGGTTCGCCCGGACTTGGAGATTGACACCAAAAGGAGCCAGCAGCTGTCAGCACCTCTGACCCGCCTGGCGCCATCAACCAAACCAACAACCAAAGATCAAAGCACAAGACCACCATCCCTGCGACTGTGATAGTACGTTGGCTGCCGCAACAGCTGCTGTAGATTTTGTAAACTGCAAAAGACGGAAGCCAAAAGATGTCGCGCTTGAAAAGCAGACAAGCATCGATGACTGCGAGAATAAGATTCCTTAGCGGGGCACCCGTGGCCAGTGACCGTCGACCAAAACACGATAACCCTAGATTAACAATTGGAGCCAAGATTCATGGCACCCAACGAGATAGTCATCATGATGGGAAACAGGATGAGAATGGTCAAAGGTTCTGCTTCTACCAAGGGGAGAGAAGTCTCTCCCCAGGAATCTCCGGCAACTACTTGTTGGAAAATCGTGAGCATCGCTGACCAAACACTCTTGAATTTAGCATGGCAGTTGTCACAGGAAGCAGGGTAGTCGAGCCCAACATTCACAGGGTGTATAACCTCGACCACGATGATCGACCACACCACGATAATACACACAAGCATGACCGATCCGAACAGGATGGCCTTGAAGGATGAGGTGAAACCTGAGACCAAGATGTAGAATTCTGGCACAGAGATCACGACGCGAGCAGCTCGCACCAGGCGGATCAGTCTGAGGATCCGCAGAACATTGATTGGAAGAGTGGAAGCCAAGAGCGCCGAGCCCCATCCCGAAACAACTGTGAGGAGATCGATCTGATTCCACCTATTCCAGGGGTAGGCTCCGCGTTCCACAAAAGCACGCAGGGCACACTCGACTGTATAAATGGTCAGTAGCAGATAGTTCACGATGCTCAGCCACAATATCGAGGAGCTCTGGGATGTGCAGGTGGACATGCTATAGCTCGGATCAGCAACCGTGCCACTGGGGGGCCGGTGACATGTAGCATCTGCGTCAGTCTCAAAAATCATGATCACCACATTGGCGGAGATGATCAAGCCCATGACCGTCTCAAAGCTTTGCGACAGAACGATCTTGGCAACCCTGATCCGGGATTGCGGCCAGATAACCTGGCCATTCTCATCTAGCCAGGGCTTCAAGAGGTTGCTCTTGTACCGAAGGGAATCCTTCTCGATGGTGGACAGAGCTCGCTTCAGGTGCTTCTTGTCCTGTGTCGTCCTACGCTTGGCCTCCGTGGCATTTAAAGTCAGCGATGAGCTTCCGGAAGCCTGGATCTGAACAGGGGAAACCGCCCCCGCCGACCGTGCGCTGAGCTCCGGCCCGGACATGCTTCTCGAAACAAACCGCCGCAACATCCGAAGCAAGTCTTGAGCACTGACAGATTCACCGGCATCCTGCTATACCTCTCAGAGCACTGACCAAACACCATCAGTCATATCAGCAACTACAACCACATATTTAAAGATGACAAAGTCCTGACAACCCTAGCAGCAGCAGCAACAGCAGCAGCGGCAGCAGCAGCTGTAGAATGATGTTTCGTGTCACCCTCATTATCTCAATCAAAGTTGTAATATAGAACGTCATCAACATCACATTCGTGATTATAAACATTGTCATTCTTGTTGTCGTCCTCATCTTCTTCTTCATCAGCATTAGAAGCCAGAGTGACAAAAGGACCGTCACTCCCATCATTGCCATCGCTCCAGTCCTTTCACTTGTCATATCGTCATCGTCGTCGTCCGTTGTGAAGCTTATCATCCACGTCGTCTCATACCATGAATTAGAACCATCCTGATCGTCCACATCGCTCTGATGCTGACCCTCGTCATGACAGTCATGACTAGTATGTTCGGAAGCATTGTGGGAATCATCCTTCACCGACGATGCTAGGCCCAGCCGCCTAGCCCGAGAGCAAAATCGAATGAGCTGCGTTGGTGTCTGTCCCACGTATGCTACTGAACCTTCTGATCCTGGCTCCTGGCGCACCTGGTGAACGACAGCATGTGTTCGGCCCTGGAGGGATCCAACTCGAGGCACCTCGTACTGAAGAGCACGCATCAGATCAGGTCGCCTGGTGACTCCCTATATAACTGTGCATACAGCATTTTGCGATCCTCAAACACCTGCGCCCAATGCCGGCTTTGGCCAAACTGAACGAATCCAACCCGACATCGCAACCAACAGCCATGCACCAGGCGCAAGGCCCGACCAGCAGCTTGCGTCAGCACACGATCCGCTTGATCAAAGCCCGCTGGCTCCTGGAGGGTGGAGCACCGAGACGCCGAAGGACGAAAGGTTCAGTGGGACAAAACAACATCTGGCTTTGTTCCCGCTGCCTCTGCTGCCTGGATCTCGGCAATCTGCGAAGACCTCGTCTGAAGTCACAGGGGATGGTTGCACATGTTGTCCGAAGACATCTGGAATCCCAAAAGGCTCAGATGTGAACCCAACTGTTCCCAGGAGCCCATCCAGGACTTCAGCAGGCGGGCGTCGGAACCTGCAAATTCAAAATGGACAGGACGCAAGACGGCACCGACTCTCCCTCGAATGTGTGTCTGAAAAGTGCTAAACACGCGCCTTCCCTGTGCAAGACACTCTTGTACAGCTTCCTGCGCCTGCAATACTCAGCACGACAAGATGTAATTTATCTTGAAATTCGATGAACAAGTCGCTGCCAGCCTTGACAATCGCACTGGTTGGAACAAGCTGCGAAGCTGAAGACCAGCCCTTGCAGCGGCTTCCAAACATAATTCAAACGTGCAGCGAATGCCGGTGGCGCAACGCCATATCAACGGGTGCTCGCACACTACCAGTCGCGGCCCGGCGAGCCTGTTCTGCAAGCTGTGGAAACATCAACCGTTCCATGAAGCTTTATCATTTGAAGCTCACATGAAGCCGGCACTTAATAGAGATTACAAACACCATGCTGCTCAAGTGTGATGCGGCTGGTGTCTGCCTGCAACTCGCAATGACAAAAGCAAGACTGTTCAAGCATCAACCCCAAAGTTCATTCCATGCCAGTTTCCGTATTTTCAGTGCCTACTGTCTACGTCACGACACATTAACATGTCTTTGAAGGAGTCAAATCAATCGACATTGCAGGCTTTACATGGTGTTGCAACAACGCCGCCGCTGTGAGCACGATCCAGCTTAACTGAAACACAATTGCACAACGTTGTGGCGATGGAAATGACCAGTTACAACGCTTCATCCTGCGATCTGTTGTTAGAGTTAAGAATCTGCTCGGAGGTTCTTGGGGCATCATGGTGCTTGTGAACAATTACCTCGAGCTCAACCTCATGGAGAAAAACTGTATGTTGGTAGGGTGACAGATCAAACCGGCGTCTACCATACAAGACGTGAATCAACAAACAAAATGGACCAGTGGTAGTGGAAACAATAGTAGTGGAAGCAGTGATATTCGTAGTGATTGTTGTTGTGGTTGTAGCAGTTGCATTCGTCGTAATAGTACAGAAGTAAGATCATAATACAAGTACTCGTAGTAGTACCAGTTCTGGTACTCACACTCGTACTGAAAAAAACTGGTACTCGTACTTGTACTCGCATCAGCATAAGTGCCAGGGCTGGTCAATGCTAGGGCCAGGGTACACGCACTTGTACGAAAATGGCACTTGGGAAATACTCGTACCACAATCCACAATAGTCCGTTTAAACAATCTCAATCATGGTTATGATGAGAGGAAAATTTTCCTAACAAAAAAACCCCGTTGTAAGTTTTGACCATTTTCGAAGACACGGTTTTTTCCTTCAAACTCACACAAAAACTCTGTTTGCTGGCCGGCACCAAACATTGGACCAGCAAAAGCTGAGCCTGACAGTTGCAAGACTAGCGAACCACAGACTCATGATCTGTTTCAATGAGCAATCGTTCACATGCGTCATGCTCCACACTTCTTCGCCGTGATGGTGGAGAACACTGCAGCCTCCGTCTTAACTCCCAAGTGGCCACATGTAGTCCTGGGAATCGCCGGGCCACTGGGAGTCGTAAAGCTCCTTGTAGATGCGGTGGCACTGCGGCTTCTTGGATGCGGCATCGACCACATAGCGGACGTACGTCCGGCATGGGGAGCTAGAAACGGTGAAAGTGTCCCCCTGAGCTGTCTTGACATCCACCACTTCCAACTGAAGCTCTTCGAAGGCTGCCGTGGGGAAACAGCTGGCACTGGAACGGTAAGTCTGGATCCCGAACTTGGACAACATGTACTGAAACCTGACGCCAGCTGCAGTGGCATTCTGATCTTTGCAATCTCCTCGTGTTCCGGGAGCAGCAATGATCTCTTGGCCCAGGCGAACGACGTAGCAGAGGCCACGGAAGCTAAACCAAACCTTGCAGCCAACCAACTTATTTGCGTTGTAGCTGCCCATTGAAGCGCCATCTTGCTGAAAATTGTACGACCACCACAGCGGAGGCTTCCCCAACACTCTGAAAGGACCCTCCCTTGTTGTGAAAAGAGAACCGTCTTCTCGAGCCACTCGAAGTCCCAGTGGTGAACTGTGATCAACTTTCAGTGACAGGTACTCTCCGTCGGAATACCACGGCAGCCGCTGACCTGCTGACGTGCCTTCCAAAAGCTCCGCCCATTTAGGATCTCCTTGGTCGTAACATACGAAGACTGCATCGGCTTTGCCTGTTCACTCTCCCCAACACTGCTCTCTGCCTACATATCAAGTGGACACCTCAATGTCGTCGGCCGCCCACCTCCAACCGCATACTCACCACCGCATGATGTCATGTCAGTGCCCTAAGCTAAAAACAAGAGTAATCTATCCAGAAGTTGCAGAGGTTCGTACCCTGGACTCCTGGGCTGAATTTGGACACCTCCTGCAAATTGATTGTACAGCCGGAGTAGTCACAGTCGGTTCCAACTTGCTCCATCTTGTGGAACCGTCTAAACGCCTTATCCTCTCCCAAAGAAATCCACGACGCAGAATAGCTTGCAGAAAGCTACAGCTGACGAAGGGAGCGAATCTTAGAGCCCTCGGTGCGGCCTCAGAGACCCGAAACATCCCGAGACTTTGAAAATGCACTGAATCGAGGCAGACTTTCTCAAGGCTTCGGAGAACGGCCCAAGAACGGTCCGACAAGCCCATACACACAGTGTGTCATGTTAGGTCATGCAGAGTTTCGGAAGTCTTCGATCTTCCCGATCCTGGTTTCCACCTCCGAAAGTTCTCACCTTCAATCCTTTTGATGCCGAAAAGCATTCTCCCGGTTGTATGAAAGCGGAAGATTCGATGAATTAGAACCCGTGCGACAGGTCGAGGCGCGGGGGATGCGAAGGGCCAGGACCCGCAGATACACAGAAGACAATGATAGGAAACTGCTGCGGAATGAATGCAGAACAGCGAGCGAGAGAGAGCGAGAGAGAGCGAGAGTGAGAGCGAGAGAGGGCGAGAGAGAGCGAGAGAGAGCGAGAGAGAGCGAGAGAGAGCGAGAGAGGAACACATAAGGAGACGGAGCGAGAGAGAGCGAGAGAGGAACACATAAGGAGACGGACAGGGGGAGAGAGAGAGAGAGAGCAAAACGAGAGAGAGAGAGAGAGAGAGAGGAAAACAACAAGAGGCAGACAGCGAGAGAGAGAGAGAGAGATAAAAAAAAACACAGAGACAGACAAAAACACAGAGAAAAAAAGAAAGAAAGAAAGAGATGGAGCGAGAGAGCGAGAGATGGGGTGGGGTGGGAGAGGAAGGGAGGCGGCTGACACTAAGATCTGTGCTCGCAGTTGTCTTCACTTCACCATTCTCATAGAGCAGAAAAACGGGCGCCACGGGGTCGTCATCATCCATATACAAGGCTACCGGCTCAGCATAGTGGTCGCAGGCACGAGGAATTTGATGCCCCAGCACTTGGCCAAATCCCATATTCATTTGACATCTGCGCGCAGCTGGGGATCCAGGCGAAACTGTGAAGGATTCCCAGTGAATAAGATCGTATCCACACTGCCGGCCCCGGAATTCCACAAAATCATACTCAGACATGTCACACTCAGAACAGAGCTTCTCTGATGTATTGAACCCAGTGACGGTGTAGACGATGTCGGACGAGCATCCGGGTCGTCCCGGCTCCATGGAGCAACAGCACGGAAGGGAAGAGCTTCCCCACTTCTCATCAGATAGCCACCTCAAGGCGACCTTGTCCAACCTGCATGGATCGAAATCGGACCGGACAGCTTTGGCAGAAACCCACTCGATGTCATTGCCTGGATCCTGCAAGCCTTTGTTGAACTTTGTTTCGCCTCGACACACGATAGTCTGGCCGGTCTTACAGGAATTGCCGGGGCCCACGTCTGAGGTTAAGCGTGTCAGGAACATCACGCTGCTGGAACAAACAGGCCTGGGCAGGCACGTCCCGAACGCTGTGGCCTCTTTCCATGTAATGCGGCCAAAAAACCCATCTCGACAGCGACAGGCTGGACCAGGTGCCAAATCAGAGTTGCGTACGTCACACGAAACTGCGTCACAGTGGCCCAAGATAGATGTCCCCTCAAAGGTAATGTTACCCTGATACCCGTGTTTGCACCGACATCCATCGCCAGGCTCCATGTTGGAGTTCTCTATGGTGCAGGGCACGGGCGTGCAATCCCCGAGAGCTTTTCCATCTTTCCACTTGATTCTTCCTACGAAGCCGTCTTGACAGGAGCATTCCTCCCCGGCTTTTTTGTTGGAGCCAGGAATATCGCATGGAGCTGGCTTGCAAGTCATTTGATATCCACGCCAGTCCTGGGAACGGTTGCCCACAAACGCATCCAGGCAGCCACACTCTTCTCCTGGCAGCCCGTTCGCATGCTCACCGTAACATTTCATCTGCTTGCAGCTGGCACTGGGATTCGGCCCGTTCCACCAGATGGTCCCAGAATAACCATTCTTGCACTTGCAAGCAGGCCCCGGTTGCTTGTTTGACAGCTTCAGCTCACAAGGTGCTGGTTGGCAGCTCCCTCGTGCCTTCAAGCCCTGCCAGACGATCTCTCCAGCATAGCCTGGGAGGCACGCACATTCATCACCAGACCTGTTGTTGGAGTTATTGATATTGCAGGGCAGGGGCTTGCATGAGCCAAACATAAAATTCCCTGTACGAGCCGGCACAACGAAGCCCCCGTATCCATCTTTGCATTTGCAGTCCGGGCCGTCGATTCTGTTAGAGTTCTCTATATGGCAGGGACGTGCCAAGCAGACCAAATCAAACACGGGGCCAACTGAACCTTTGTAGGCAAAGTGTCTTGTCCACAGAACTCTTCGCTCACCACCAAAACCGTGCTGGCAACCGCATTCGGGACCATCCTTCTCATTTGCAAGTTCTCCGGTGCACGGAAACGCAGTGCACTCGCCCACGGGTACAGGCCCAGACCAGCTAATGTTGCCGAAGTAACCGGACTCGCATTCGCAGTCTGGGCCTGCCTTCTTGTTCGAATACTGGACGTTGCAGGCGACAGGCTCACACCTTCCCTCTGCTTTTTCCCTCTTCCAAGTAATATTTCCTGTGAAGCCGTCCTAGCACCTGCAGTTGAGGCCTTCTCCAGAAGAGTGCAGAACATTCCTGCACGATGCCGGCTTGCAGGTTCCTTCTGCGTGCACACCAGTCCAAGTGATGTTGCCTTGATGTCCATCCTCGCATCGGCACAACGGTCCTGGCTGCCTGTTGGAATTCTCAACTTCGCACGGAGCCACTGAACATGTACACTTCGGGGTGGTGCCCTTCCAGGAAATGCTGCCGGCATATTCTGGCAAACAGGCACAATCCAAGCCCTTGGCCTTGTTCGAGTTGTTGATATTGCAGGGGGCAGGCTGGCATGCCAAAAGAAGTTTCGTGGGATCCCCATCATTTTTGAGCCCTCCAGTGTAGCCCG